CGGCGGGTGATGCAAGCCCTGCTCTGCTCTCCGCCTCCCACCCCCGGGCCCTTTCCCGGGGCGAGCGCTGGCTCCACCGCCCTGTCCCCGCTTCCCTTTCGGAGAGGCACAAGTCAGCTCCGCGTAGGGCCAGAATTCAGAACATGATTAATAAAATCACCCAGGGGTTTAAGCGAAAGCTATTCCAACCACAAACGCTTTCATTACATTCTTCCAGGACGCTGGAAGAAGGGATTAAGTGATACTTGTAAGATGCCTTAAGTCCTAGCCAAGGTACAGTGTTTGAAAGGAGAGCTAGAAGTACAGGCTTGGATTTTTTTCTTAAGGTCAATTCATGTGTTTAAGGGTGTGTTTTTAAATAAAAAAATTTTAAAAAGTACTTAAAATCTAGGCAATTTTGCAACATCTGGTAAAAGTACTTTGAAGGTCTCAACCTGCTTTGAGCTCTCCTGCCAACCCGTCTGGTTTTACAATTAGCTTTTTATTTTTAACAGTTTTCCCCTTGTCTTCCAGCTGCTGTATTAAAGATTCACATACGAACGTGGAAAGCTGCCTTATCTGGACCGGGGACGGAAGCTGCCCTGGAGAACAATGCTATTAACTTGACTGAGTAAGCAAACTGAAGAGAGAAAAAAAGTGCACTTTCCCCCCCATCTCCTTGTCCATATATAGTTATCTAAAGCGATTTTTTACTAATACCTTGCTTCAAAAGGAAATGTGCAGGCACAGGAGTTTTCAATAAATGGGCGCCCTTTGCACGCTTTCCTGTGCTCGGCTGCAGAGCCATGCAAGCGAGTGCCTTGGCACTTCGCGGTGACAAAGCGAAAGTGCCTTGCTATGAACTCAGCTGGTTTCACTGCCTCCTCCTCAGGAGATGTGAAATGCAAGGAAACAGCATCACTGTCAGGAAGGAAATTGGACAGCAAGTGTTTTCCTGGACTAAAAGTCCACCAGCGCTATCACTCAGAGCCGGTATTTCTGCACTGCCGTGCCGTTTCCCGCCCTGTGTCTCCTCACCCCTGGGGTCCCAGTTTGTACCCGAGCTCCGGGGCCGGCAGGCCAACGCAATGCCCTGCCGCCGCTCCCGGGCAGGGAGCCCCGAGCCGCACGAACCTGGCTTTCCTTTGGGCAGCTGGAGGCGCAGCGTCCGCGAACCGCGGTGCTGGAGAGGGCTCTGCTCAACCGGAGCTGCCTTTTCCTACCCAGATGCTGACGTCTCAACCTTTCTCTAACCCGCTTGCTTCGGCCGTGTTGTTCCCTCTGGCCAGACCAAGCCCCTGGGCGCATCTCTGCTACCTTGCAGGGCAAATTCATGCTTTTGTCTGCAGGAGGTCCCTGCCAATGGCTCTGACCTCTTCTTCTGCTAGCCTTCTTCCACCTCCGGTTTGCTACCGACGCCAGCACCAACGCGGACCCTGAAACCTCCTCTCGCGTCCAGCTCATCCCCTCCTCCAAGCTCCCCCTTCTGCTGGCACGCTCGCCCAAACCCCCTCTTCCGTGCCATTTAAATCCCCGCGCGCGCGCCGATGCCTGCCCCTAGTTCTGCCCGCCGGCTCCCGAAGCCGCGCGGTCTAATATCACCGACCCCAGCTCAGCTCCTTCCCCGCAGGGCTGGGAGTCCGCTCCGCGGCTCGGAGGAGCCCTGGGGCATCTCCTTCCTCCTGCCGCTGTCACCGGGGGCAGCAGGAAGGTGCCCCAGCACCTGGGCGCAGAGCCGTGGCTCTCTCCCCTGCGAGCCCAAGCGCCAAAAATCCCACTCACGCGATGAGAAACAAAAGCAAACACCTGCACATGTGACGACGGGGCTTTGCGCTTCCCCTGAGCTTTGTAAAGCCACCCCAAGGTGAAGAGCACTATATAAATATTAACTACAATAACTGCCGGTCCCGTTTCCCCGCTCCGGCAATCTCTGCTCTCCATAATCTCCAGCCCAAGTCTCCCATACCGTAAGTCTGGCAAACAGCACAGCTGAAGAAGAGCTCTGTACCCCAAACAGAAGGATTAACAGCAGCCAACAATTACCCAGGCTTATGGGGAGATTCATATTATTAAAATGTGTTACACATTGAGGAAACATGAACATCTGACTGCGAAGACAAGAGAGAATATTTTTGAATGTGACAGAAGAGACAGCCAGCTAACCCAGGAGAGTGAGGAAAAGCAGCAATGGGGCACGTTAGTTCTGTCTACAGAGCTAAAACGCAACGTGTGGTGAAAACCACACCGCTGTGGACAGCTCTGGTTCCTGTGTCTGGCCGCCTGCTAGGCGATGGGTTCGTATGGCACGGGTCACTCTACCTCCGGACTCGCTTATTTGAGCTCCATAAACCATACGGTCACTTCAAGAGGCCCAAATCAGGAGCCTTTCATGAAAATATGTCTAAACAGCCTTGCAACAATTTTTATTTCTGAAGGGCAAGCGGAGGCAAACAGGTTTCTGCTCTCCTTAAAGCGAATCCAGACCGAGGAGCACATCAGCAAGCAGCAAAACACAAATCCCACCCTGTGACTGTAATTTGCTTTAGATGTAATCAGATGCATGGTTAATGCAGGGACATTTTGATTCAAACAAAACCACGGGCTTTTGCAGCACCGCGCAGCAAGTCCAACGCATATTAATACTTCATTTTCCTACGCTGTGCTCACGCCGAAGGGTGCTAATGTGCCGTACCGTCGAGCACGGAGACGAAGCCTTTATCCCAAAGCCCTAACCGTTTACAGAGGGCAAGCGCCAGAAGAGTGGGGGAAGGGGAAACGTTAGTGTTTAATCACGCCTCGTTTAGAGGGCGAAATAGAGATATGTTCTTGCAGTCCTGATCACGGAGGATAACTGGGCCGGTCAGTGCCCGGAGAGCGAGTCTTTCACATGTTACGATGTGCTCCCTTGATAATATCCTCACTCTGACCAAGGCTCTTGCAAAGCGCCGTCACCGTGGAGCTGCTATTCTACCGCTCACAAATACCCATGATATCACCACCAACTCCCTGTACCATCAGGACAACAATTAATCAGGGCAACAGTCTCCAGAGACCACCCAGAAGGACAGATCCCTGTCCTGGAGCTGCAAACACCATGAACAACTGCGCCTTCTATGTCTGACCCTTTGGCTCCACCAACCCTTTCCATCATTATGGGGACGCAGCTGGGGCCACAGCGCTAAGAGCTTAATATTGCCCTGCGCAACCTGAAAAAGTCATCAGGGAGCACACTTTCCGAGCGTCACCCTGCCATCCAGCTGGCCGCGCGCGTATCAGATGCTGCTACCCTGACATTGCTTTTTATGGTATGTTTCTCACACACGCTTGCCATTATATTTAAATGCCGCGGCAGCTAGCAGTGACTCCCACTGGTCCTGGCTGCGCAGGACTCCCGAAAACAGATTCACCATCTTACGGGCTACGGGGCTACTAATAAAATATGTCCTCCCTCTACACATGTCCAAAAATACGCCATGAAAGGGCTAGGGAAACAGCAGCATGGATAGGCAGTAAAAGACCCCCCAGAAGAAGGCAGTGGGGTGCGCAAGCTTAGAGGTCTACACGGTATAAAAGGACACACACATTCTTTGCCAACAGCACGAATTAACGTCAGCAGCTTGCGCTTGCAACTTCTGCAGAAATCTCCCACAAATATTAAAGAGCTCGGGACAAAAATGAATAATACAATCAGTTCAGCAGCCCTTTAATTTTCTATCGCAGTCCTGATGGGGGGAGGCTTGGTAGCAGGGCACCGAACCTCTCATCTCGGGCGGCCTCTGCAAAACGAGCTGAGCAGAGCCCCAACGACGCCGACCACAGTGCCGCGCCAGGGAAACGTCGGAGGCCACGGCGGGACGGGACGGGCCCGGGGGGGAAACGCTCCCTTTGCTGGCTTGCAGGACGGCAGTGCACCAAACACCGAGCAGGGGCTGCGATCGCCGGGGCTGTCAAGCTACATCTTGCCTTGGATGTGGCTGCCGTTGCCTTCAGACCCTCAGCGCCCTGAAATGCCCATCCTGGCCCGGGATATCTGAGCGCTGGCGTGGTGTAAATACCACTGCTGATCTGGGTAGCATCTGTCTCTCAATTTTTCATCCACAAACTACCTCGCAGCCTCGAATCTGGAAAGTGCATAGCAGGAAGATGCCTTGAAAATGCAAGCATTATGTCAGTGCTACATGCTAGCTTTTAAATAGCCTTTTTCTGATAGCCCATCTTTGGAGCACTTTCTCTAGCACAGTCTATCATACTTGGTACTTCCACAGCGCTCGTGCATTAACAGAGCCCCCGAGAACACCAGAGAATTAGCACGTAGCCATTTGCATCCTACAAACTCGCTACCGCAGGGGGAAGAGAGAACCCTTTAGCTCAGAAATGCAGCAAGACTGCAGCAGAGGATCGGCGACATAGTTTCCATTCACTTTGAAGTCAAACCTGGTTTTCAAACAAAAAGGCTTCACGTTTTTCCCTTTCTGTTCTTAGTACGAACTCGGCGTGATTTCGCAGCCCATAATGGAAGGACACTGTACTCCGGCAGTGCTTTAAAAAAAAAAATAGCTACAGTGCTGAATCTGAAGAGGCTGTTACTGTG